CATTTAAACGGTACTGAACAAATGAATAAACAATACATAATTTAAAATGATAAACCGGCAAAAAGATATGTTGTTTTTGGAACCTAAATCATCTGCCAATATGTAGATGATACAATCTGTATTCATCGACTACACAGAATTATTACTACCAGTTATTTTTTTATTTTTAGTCTGCTTTTCTGTACTAAAAAAATTGGTTGAAATTAGATAACAAACGACCGCTAAAATCTCTGAAATAGGTCACTGTCAAAATGTCGTAAACACTACAGAACTATACTAGATTACACCTCAGTCGTCACATCGAAAAATGCTTAGTTTTACTGCAAGTGGATTTACATCACAAATACTTCAAATCCTCGTACTACTTCTCTTCCGAGTCTGCACAGCATGTGAGTTTAATTTGTGCTGTTTTCTACAGTTTATTCTGCTGTTAGTTCTGCTTTCCTTCTTTTCTTCTTTTCTTTTTTTATTTTTCTACTGAGTAATGGAATGATAAATGCAAGGGTTTAGATTTTTCAAAGCCAGTAAATAGCTGGGCTTAGCAGTGACACTAGTACGCTGCAATAAAGTATGGTAGAACTTAAAAATGCTCGGAATTAAAACGTTTTTAGTTCTAGTGCTCGTCTCACATATGTCTAATTTTAAATTGCATGAGCTTTTTTCAAAATACCATAAACTTTTTGGAACGTTGAACTTTATGGTTTTCGGTAGCGTAGAAAAAAGATTTATCCTGCTCCAAACTTGAAATAATTCTAATTTTTTGATCAAATTTTAGTTGTTTCTTATCATTCAAATTTTTCTAATTTTACCCCTGCCTATTTATCACGTTAACAGCTTTAAAAGCAAGAGAGATTCGTATTCATTGATAATAACACATCATGAAAGTAAATTAATACAAAAATCATCCTTATCCTGTAGAGTTTTAATATCTCGCCCCGACTGAGATTCGCCATCAAAGTTTTCAAAAATATTCTGCCCCAACTAGGTACAAGTCCGATTACTACCGCCGTGCACAAAATTTATCCCTTATTTGTTTGAATAGTTTGGCTAATCATAAGAATAATATTTGTAAATCTACAGTCATATGAATCAGAAGAAGTTATCTAGCATTTTCAGCTCTTTCTTCTCGAAGTTTAATTTCCTGCTTATTCAACCCTTTCTAAGAAGACTTAAATTGAATAAACAATGTATATTAAAAACTTTAACCAAATTAGCTCACAGTTATATCGTAAAAATTTGGAACTACATCTTTAGATAGACAAACAATGTTGATAGAAAGATGGAGTCGATAATTCGGCTACAGATCAGATTTCTAGGTCAAAATTTAGAACAACACTCAGTGCTTCGCAGCTTTACTGCTTTTTTTCTCACTATAAATCAACAAAAGTTTTTATTGCTGAGAAAAACCTACAGTTTTTACAGTCATCCAATAATGTTAGATTTCATTTGCAAAAGTATTGCGGAAATTCAGTTGAGGGGAAACGTGAAAAAAAAAAGCACCAATGTAATAACAAGAAGAATTTCAGAATAAATTGTTATCGAGTTGCCGTCTTTTA